TGACACGTGCGGGGAGCCGCCGCCTGCGTCCTGCTGCAGCCGCGTCCCGGGTCACCCACGGAAGGGAGTGCAGCGGCCAGACCGGGATTCCTGAGGCCGGGGTAGAAAGCAGATCTGAGGAGCCCGGGTCGGCAGTGCGACTGCGCGGCGGGCGCTGGTGCGCTTCTTGGGACCCACCTGCACCCCGTGCCGCGCGCGCGGTCCCGAGGGTCCGGGCACAGCCACCCTGCCCGTCTCGCAGCAGAAGTAAACTATGCGGGTGAGCAGCTGGAAGGACGGAGTAGGGACTGTGTCCCTGGGGAGGAGAAACGTGTCGGGCAAGTTGCACACACGGGGACCGGGAAACAGCTCCCGGTTCTCAGGCGCAGCGCACCGGGAGAGGGGGCGGCCCGGAGTGTGCGCTCCCGGGAAAGGGGGAGAAACGAAGCTGGTGAGCGGGGCGCTCGGTGTATTCGAGAAGAATGTGGGTTTCGTAAATCTAGTCAGCGGGAAGAATCGAGTGAGTGACTCCTGGGGCTTTGTCCCAGGAGCCAGAGGAAGGACGAGAAAAAGTCCAGCTGTGTCCTTGCAGGCGTTTCCTAACCTTTAGACAGTCAGGGAGCCCTTCGAGGGTCTGATGACCCCTCTCCCCAGAAACGCGCGTAAATGACATGCTTACAAAATGTGCTTATGATGTGGGGATCGAGGACCCACAGAAGGCCATCCGTTGTCTCTCCATGAGATTTAGCAACCCCTTGATCTGTGTGTGTGTTTTTAACAAAACTCCCAATAATTTACGTCCGGACCGGCCAGTCGGTCTGGGGCTTGGTCAGAGCCACTCCGTCCAAGGCCGCTGCTCCCTGGCTCGGTCTGAACCCCCTAGCTCAGCGGGGGCTCATGAAGTTTCATTTCTGTGACACTGTGACGCTTGGCTTTCCCCCACATCTGAGAAGCAGAGTTCAGTTGGTGACTTGGTCTGTTCCTCCCAGCTGGCTGACTAGTGTTCCGCCTGACCCCTGAAGAGATGCCAGAGGTAGCAGGCAACGGGCAACTCTATTACACAATGTCAACTGGGAAATGCGGCTTTGCTCGGAGCCCAGCCAAGATGAGGTGTCTGCCTTAGAGCCGTAGAACTCTGCAGAGATCTCTGACGCTCATCATCTAAACACAGCGGTGCTCTTTCACCTTACAAAGTTGTCCCTACCATCGAGTAGCTCCTGCTGTGCTTTTTAAAAACAGCCTTATGAGGTATAATTGACAGACAATAAACTGCATATATTTAAATTGTACAATTTGATAAGTTTAGAGATAAATGCATACACTCATCACCACAATCAAGACAGTAATTATATCTATCACTACCAAAAGTTTCCCCACGCCCTGTAAAATCCTCACCTCCCACCTCGCCCTGTCCCCCAGGCCACCATTCATCTGTTTTCTGTCACTATTGATTTATGCACTTTCTAGAACTTTATATAAATACAATCATATGGTAAGTGCTCTTTCTTGTCTGCCTTCTTTCGTGCACAGTAATTATTCTGAGGATTCAAGCACGTTATACCTTGTATCGATAGTTAATTCCTTTCTGTTGTTGAGTAGTATTCCACTGCCTGGCTATCTACCCTTTGATTATTCGTTCACTTGTTAATGATATGATCATTAACAATGATATTAGTTAGAAGTGGAGCGGCTGGATCATATGGTAGGTGTATGTTTAACTTTAAAGAAACTGCCAAACCATTTCCCAGAGTGGTTATTCTATTTCAGATTCCCACCAGCAGTGCAGGAGAGCTCCTCCACATCCCACATCCCGTCACCACTTGGCATGGCGAGTCTTTTTAATTTTATCCATTCTAATAGTTATGTAGTGGTCTCTCATACTTTTAATTTGCATTTTCCTAATAAGTAGAGATGTTGAGCATCTTTTCATGTGCTTATTTGCCATGTGTATATCTTCTTTGGTATCTATCTGTTCAAGTCTTTTGCCCTTCTGAAAATTGAGCTATATCATTATTGGCGTTTGTTTTTTTTGTTTTTTGTTTTTTTTGTTTTTTTTGGTTTGGTTTTGGGCTTTTTTGTCTTTTTTTGTGACCGGTAAGGGGATCACAACCCTTGGCTTGGTCACCGCGCTCAGCCCCCGAGCGCACCGGCCATCCCTATATAGGATCGTTTTTTTTGGTTTGGTTTTGGGCTTTTTTGTCTTTTTTTGTGACCGGGAAGGGGATCGCAACCCTTGGCTTGGTCACCGCGCTCAGCCCCCGAGCGCACCGGCCATCCCTATATAGGATCCGAACCCATGGCGGGAGCGACGCTGCGCACCCAGCGCCGCCCTCTCCCAAGTGCACCACGGGGTCGGCCCTCATTATTGGGTTTTGAGAGCTATTTATATGTTCTGGATTCAAGGGCTTTATGAGATATAGGATTTGCACATACTTCTCAGAGTCTGTGGCTTGTCTTTTCATTCTCTTAACAGTGTCTTATGAAGAGCAGACGTTTTTAATTTTTATGAGATCCAATTAATTAATGTTTTTTACGTATTATGCTTTCGGTGTCATATCTGTGAATTCTTTGCTCAGCCCAAGGTCACAAAGGTTTTCTTCTGTGTGTTCCTGTAGAAGTTTTATAACTCTAGAGTTTACATGTATTTCTGTGATCCTTTTTGGGTTAATTTTGTATATAATGTGAGGTATGTTTTGAAGGTTGTGTTTGCTTGTTTGTTTTCTGCACATGGACATTCAATTGTTACTGCACAGTTTGTTGAAATGACGATCTTCACTGACCTGCACTTACACCTTTTGAACACCAGTTGTCCGTACATGTGTGGGTGGATTGCAGTATACAAAACACCAATATACAAAAATAGATTATATTAATACACCTTGGCAATGAATAATTGGAAATCGAAATTCTAAAAAAATATGATTTGCAATAACATCTAAAAGTATGAAGTACTCAAGGATACATCTGAGAAAAGAGGTGAAAGACCTGTACACTGAAAACCACAAGCCATCGCTTGGAGAAATTAAAGAACTAAATCAATGGGGAGAGAGTAAACCTGTTCATGTATTGGACACATTAACATCGTTAGGGTGTCAAGTCTCCCCAAATCAAAATACCAGCAGGCTTTCTTGTAGAGATTGACAAACTGATTCCAAAATTCACCTGTTAATGCAAAAGAACTCATACAGCCAAAATAACTTTGAAAAAGAACTGAGTTGGAGGAACAAGACTCCCTGATTGTAAGGCTTTTCTTATAAAGCTACGGTGATCAAGATAGTGTGGTGTGGTGTAAAGATGGACAAAGAGATCATGGGAACAAATTATTAAATTTGCTACTTGGTAGTATGATTCTGGTCAGAAATCATAGAGAACAGCACATTCCTTATCACTAGCTGAATATATAATATTGTCTCTGATCTGTAAATGCAGGCTCACAGTGCTACTAGGCACAGGAAGTTGTTGTTAGTCCATTCTTATTTAAAAGGACTGACTGGGAGGGGAATCCATCATCTTGGGCCAAAGGTCACTTACTTCTTAAAGATTCTCACATTCTGAAAGGCTGCAGGTGATTTGGCCAAAAGCAGCTAGAGATGACAGGGATTTGTTTAAAGATTAAACTGGTCACCAGTTTTGGTTTGGTTTTCTTGTGCATGGTGTTACTGCACTTGGAGGGTGTTTTCACAAAGTATGTGTCTTTAAGTATTTTTAAGCCATTTTTCAGAACACTGGGGGTCTTTGCCCAAAACTTTATTTTTTTATTTCAAATCAATTTTGTCTATTGCTGCTTTTATGCAGCTACTGATAACAAAAAAAAAAAAAAAAAAAAGGAGGGTGTTTTCACAAAGTATGTGTCTTTAAGTATTTTTAAGCCATTTTTCAGAACACTGGGGGTCTTTGCCCAAAACTTTATTTTTTTATTTCAAATCAATTTTGTCTATTGCTG